AATAAATAGGCTTTTTCGTCTCATGACCTTAAACACTGTGTATAAATTTAAAGTCAATCGGATATTAACTTTGATCTCTAGAGCATCCACAAGATTTTTTGAAGTGATCAAGGGCCATAACTTAGGCAGTAATTATCGAAAATCGTTTAAAATCAATAGGCTTCTTTGTCGCATGACCTTAAACACTTTGTATAAATTTAAAGTCAATCGGATATTAACTTTGACCTGTAGAGCGTCCACAAGATTTTTTGAAGTGATCAAAGGCCATAATAACTTTTGTCGTTAGAGCATTTACAAGGTACAACAACGTGAAACAAGGGTCATAACTCACGGCGTAATTAACGGAAATTGCTGAAATTCCATAGGATTCTTCGTTTCACTAATTTAAATGATGCATATCAATTTCAAATAGATCGGTTGATAACTGTTGTCATTAGAGCATTTACAAGGTACATCAACGTGAAACAAGGGTCATAACTCACGGCGTAATTAACGGAAATTGCTGAAATTCAATAGGATTCTTCGTTTCACTAATTTAAATGATGCATATCAATTTCAAACAGATCGGTTGATAACTGTTGTCATTAGAGCGTTCACAAGATTCAACAAAGTTAAACAAGGGCCATAACTCAAGATGTAATTAACGGAAATTGCTGAAATTCAATAGGCTTCTTTGTTTTACTAATTTAAATGATGCATATAAATTTCATACAGATCGGTTGATAACTTGTGTCGTTAGAGCGTTCACAAGGTGCAACAAAGTGAAACAAGGGCCATAACTCCAGAAGAAATTTACGGAAGTTATTGAAATTAAATAGGCTTCTTCATCTCACCAAAGCAAACAACATATATCAATTTCAAAACAATCAGATGATAAATGTAGTCTGTACAGTGTTCACAAGAAATTGTGGACGATGGACGGACGGACGGACGGACCGACGGACGGACGGACGGGGGGTGACGGCAATATACGACCACATTTCCATGTGGGCGTATAAAAATTGAACCATGACGTAGTTTGTATCGAGTGGACGTTAAACCCATCTCTCCCCCCACCCACCCACCCTCTCTCTCTCTCTCTCTCTCTCTCCCTTATTGAAGTAAAGAGGCACAAACGTATCTAGAGTCATAAATCATTTATCTCAATATATTTTTTACTTCTCTGTAAAGCTTCATTTAGATTTCTTCTGGACATTTCAATCACACTTTTCTTTAGTTTATTTTACTATATTATGTTTAAATTCTAGATTGCCTTACTATCTTGTTAAGAGTAACGACCACAAACACATTCTCCAGTGTCATCGTAAACTCTATAATTGCGTTGAGATCAATGTAATGATAACAACATCTTGAATTATTCCAATCTTTAATCGCTGTTTATGGGATGCTTGTAACATGTTTGGGTTTTTTAAAAACTGGCCCCATGCATGGTAGAGGAGATACACCATCGGCATCCATTCAAAGATGGCGAAAATATAACTGTAAAAATAGCACACGGACGAGTTTTATGCCAGGTTCCCACTGTCGTGCGATGCGTTACGAGAGGATTGTCCATATAGAGTTCACGATCTGCTACGTGCAGATAGATACCTTTGGATACGTTTCGATACGGTCAACACGATCGTAGCATGAATTGTGATAGAGGGAATCTAGAATTAGGTGAAATCATTAGATAAGGGTTGCTTGCATCATGCTTTTCATTTTTTAACTGGTTCCATACATGGTAGTAGACAGAGAACAGCGACATATAATCATAAATGGCGAACATATAACTTAAACAGTACCACGGCGGCAAGTTTAATGTTAAACAGAATCCCTCTGAAATATCATAAGATTGGGTGAACCGCTACACCGAATTAAATTTTGAACCATGATGTTCTTACACCGAGCAAAATTTTCTTTCGATCGACTGAAAATTAATTCAGTTAAAGTGTGTAGCCTGTTGCTACTAAAACCGTTCTTTTATAATTATATATAGATACGTGCATAATTTAAATGTCCACCCATCCTGCTGCAATCAACGTTTCAGATTTTTCTATTTCAACAATGAATCGACGAATACATGAAGTTCATTCATTGCAAGACGAAATCCCATACGATAAATGAGATACCATTCAATTGAAGCTAAATTTCATTCGGTCGGTGCCAATGGGAAGGGTACCTTAGAGCAAAAACTAATTTTCTTTGACAGAAAACCGCCGGGCCAAGTCATATTATTATTTCTTAAGCCCGATTCCCAACTGGCATCAATCGAATAAAATTTAATTATGTCGACTTCTTTAAAAATCAGTAGCCTATTGCTCCTAAAACTGTTCTTTTATTGTGGACACCGTGGCTGATTTGGAATTCTCACTGCGATGAAAAATGGTAATTGCCATTTCAGATTCTCGATTCCATGCAGTCAGAACACCGAATCGACAAATATGTGACTTATAGTAGTTGCCTGAAGTTCCTTTATTGCATATTATTGACTTATGTGAACAATTTGGCGAGTGTTTCAATGGATTGGATTTGAATTTGAACCTTAAATTAATCATGTGTGCGCTTACCAAAGCCATGGTCGACGATCGAAATAGCAATGACCTATCGCTGATTATGGACTTTGATCAACTTGTCCTTACCCTGAAGCTTATTCACAAAAACTTATGAATTGAGCTCTTTCATTGTCCAATAAAATAGCTGCCCCCTTAACATATTTCAGTAAAAGTTTTCGTGAATTAGACCCCAGTATTATTTATCACAGTATTTAAAAGCATACTGCTTACCTTCTTCCACGCTACAACATGGAAACTTTAACAATTTTAATATCCCAATTCTTCTCATATCCCTTGCTAATGATGCATTGAATAGTTTTTGCATATTAATAATATTGCATTTCAAATGGATGCATCACCTAAGGCTAAAAATAATGCAATATGCTTGTTATGTGTCGACATGCCTGTTCGGAAATTACGGGTGTGAGCAGTGATTGATATATAATTTATAATTTATCATAAATATTTTTGATTACTTTTCGCCTATTTGGCCTGAAGCTATACATAGGCCTGCACCCAAATGCATAGGTAGAGTATATCCATCTGTAATAAATATATTTTTATCACATAATATTTATAAACTCCATATTCAATTTGAAAAACAAATATTTTGTATATATAGACCCATTTAATGTTATTTTGATTTGTTTGTACTAAGAATACTCATTGACAGTGGATAAGAAATTGACACTCTATTTGGTCTCTGGGTAAGCATGTCTTTAAATGCTCGTTCTTCATTATCCCGGTTCGTGCAGACAAGTAGGACGTTAAACCCTATTCCATTTTATTTCCGCACTAAGTGTGTCTGTGCAGTGATATCTTTCTGGTTTATTTCTCGTTTACGATTTACCTTTCCGGAAAATGTTTACACATACAAAGAACCACAATAAGCCCGTTGTCGTGAAACAAATCTCATATCCTAGTCCCGAAACCCCTTACTCTATTAGGGTAATAATTTCCGAACGTCTCAAAGTTTAATATGTATCAAAAAATCTTCGAATTGCTCTTTAAGTTGTATTTTCTTTCCAAAAATCAACTTAACTAAATGAAGAAGTAAACAAGTCAAATTGAAAAACCTAACCGAATCTCGATATAGAATGAAATTGGACAGAGAAAATGTAATTCAGTTTCTAAGATATGCATCTTCACGATCAAAAACTTCATTTGTAACAAGATAATATTCATAACTTGTCAAAATATGAAAAGCCTATTGCATCTCAATTTGTCCACTGTATATAAAAAAGTATTATACAAAAAGCGGTTATTAAAGGCACAGTCCTAGCCCTATTTCAGAGAATAAAACCGGTTAAGCCAAAAAAACTATCCGAAGATCTGTGATACGTTTTCAATTTTATAGCTATGTCCAGTTGTAAGGACATGACATATATAACATATTATGCTATATTTTCGGTTGCTTTCGGTTTATTTGTGTTGTTTTCCAGTGAGTAATAGAATGTTGCTGCTTACTGCTGCGTTCTGAATTACTCCTTGGCAAAGATTACAAACTGTTCGATTGATCATTTCCAAATGGGACAAACTTTTTTGCTGAAATTTTAGACAATATAAATAAGTACTATCCTCAAGTTTTGACTCTTGATTTGCATTCTTAAGCGAACTTTTTCGGAGACAGAGTGGTAAGTTTTCTTTTAAAAAGAAGACATCACCTCACTAAAGAAAAAATGCCGTCCGATATGCTCTACATCTGTGTTCTATCAATAACAACACTGATTCATTAAAATAAGGAACACGATCGGAATTTAAAAGATAAAGGGGCAATATTGAAGGAGGATTTCTCCATAACTCATATGGAGATAGTCGCGTTTAGTCCCTTCCTTAAGGACAGACACGTAGGCTAGGTCAAGAAAGTTCCTCGTGCTTTTCCAGCCCATTTCTCTTTTCAGTCAGTGGGGACCTCGTAAGGAACAATGGTCAATCATTCGGATGGATCGCACACTCAAAGTCCCATGTACATTTGGTGTGCACGTAAAAAAAAACTTAATTTGAATTCGGTGAATAATATATAGGTGAAAATGCTGTTACCGGTTCCCCACATAGCACATCATTGGCCCGGTTCGTGCTGAAAAGTAGGACGTTAAACCCCACTTCATTTTATTTGGCTTCACTAAGACTGTCAAGTAAATAGAGAGTTGTCGAGTTCCGCTGTGGACACCGAGTACGAGTTTCTATTGCCATGCTTGATTACACCTAAATAAATATGTGTGTGTGTGTGTGGGGGGGGGGGGGTTGATAGAAAGTTATTTGCATTTTTACTTAACAATAACTTACATTAGGATCGACTGATTTGAATGATATTATTTTTTTTATAACATTACTTTTGAAATATTACTTTTTAATGTGTTCTTTATTCCTAAAATTATGCCTTTAAGAAATAATGCTTGAAATTCACCAAAAATCTCTGTAAATGAATTTATCCACTTGGTGTCTTAAATATATAAATGATCTTACCTGTTGCGAGCATATGTTCTTCTTCTGTTTCTTTTAGTGGCAGGGAACAGTCATGTATACTGGATAAGTAAGATGTAAAAACAAAAGGTGTCCTGGTCTCCCATGTTGATCTATCCAACTTAACTTTGTACACATTCCCCTGCCCTGGGGGAGCGATATGTCCTCTTACAGGTACCGGAACTGCCAATTTAGTTAAAAGTGACGGCCGTTCCTTACACGAACACCCTCGTGGTGTCTTAGCTTTATCCTTCTTACTGCCTGTCATGTAAAACAGCCTAGCGCCTTTCTTAGACATGTTGAAATCTATAAGCAACATGCACTGTGCACTCCTTACTTAATTTCATTTATAATGCCAGTGTGATGAACCGCCTAGAGAGTTCGACTGACAGGCCGTTGTCGCTAACCGTTTCTATAAGTTGTTGAATACCGTTTCCGAGGTATCGCGATGACTGGTTAGTTCCATTGATGTTGAACGAATCGAGTCACAAGAAACTTCAGTCCCAGAAGAACGAGTTCCTTATTGATTAACAAAATCTTATAGCGACTTCTTAGCTGTTTGACTTCTTGCACACTGGCGTGTATGTAGTACACAAAACAATAGCACTTTAACAATGAACTTTATATAAGAACGTCAATGTCTGGCGCATGGGTAACAAATTTTATGTCAATATTGTCTACGTTTCACATTTTGCAAGAACCACTGAGATGATTTCTATGCGGATCATTATTCAAAATCATCGTAATGAAAACTAAACACCGCACGTCATGTGTTTAGAGAGAGAGGAGTAAAGTATTAAAGTTAGATTATTTATCTAGTGAAGATATTAAACATCTTCTATTGACGTTGATTTTCTTATCTTATGCCACACACAGAATATGCTCGAACGATTTCAATAGTATGTTTTGTATTAAGAAACCGGCACAGACCCGGCGTTGGATTGACATTATGGAGATGATCTTAAAAACTCACCGACAACAGTAGTCATGGTACTATGCTCGGATCGGTTAGGGCATCGATGTCTGCCTCCTCTGTGTCACGATATATTCCTTCTATCATCAGCTTATATCTATATAAAACGATCTACGGCTAGGGTACCTAGCGATCGGGTATATACACTGTTCCGTTATGCATCATGCTATCACCTTGAATTAAATCGACCCAAATGTAGCGATCAGTTTAGCGACGTAAAATTTCAACATTCGAGCAATATTTCTTCTTTTGTTTTGTGTGAAGCAACAAGTATCGTTACACGGTGTTTATGTTCTACAATGTTTCATAATTGCCTGCTAGGCTAGGATTTATGTTTTAGTCCGAATACAGAGACAAGTTTCCTCCCCTTACTTTCTGTGTTAAATCGTATTTGTCACAGATAATTATTGTAAAATCACACATTTAATACATTCTGTTGTTTTGTTAAACACTAATGCGCTTATAATGCTTTAAATGAGGAATCACAGTGTGAAAATTGTGAATGGCATATATTTTATCCTAAATAGACGATACTGATAATTACGAATTATAATGTCTTGCGTCAACGCCATTCCACGTTTGTCAAAAATCATATAATGATCAAACAGCCATGTCATAACTGATGAGAGTTGATAATAAAAGCTTTTTTTTCCGGCGTTTACTCGTCCGTCCATTAAATTTTATTTTTGTCAATTATTTTCTCAATCATGAATATTTGTCTCGGCGATGGTTTGGCAGACCAGCCTTTAATGTTGCTTAATTACAATAAAATATATATACATACAACCCCGGTGTAGCATAATTTAGTCAAATTACGAACATTTAAAAATCTTTGTCAGTTCCTCCTTAAAGTCTCATAGACAATGAGGGATAACTCCGAAAAGAAAATCAGGACAAACAATAAAAGATTATCAAATAATGATTTATAGTGGCAGCACATCTAGTGGTATATTTAAATTCCATCACAATGATTTGCTCAGAAACACAAAACACTGACCTTCATTCAGTATGCCTCGAATATCTATGATTTCTGTGTACTGGTATATATTCCATTGTGCGTTCCCGCGCGCTATCTAAAACAAAATGTAAATCTTTACGAAAAAGCAAGCTTTTAACACTGTACAGGTCGACAGGAAGATATCCGCGTAGATTCTGCTTTCTTAGGGACCCAACGATGCTGCTGGATCAGTAAACACGTAAAACATATCTGATGACGGTCAGTTGAGATCAAACGTTGTACGACCAAACACCACTGAACAACTGTTTTTCTTGAGCTCGGAGGATCCCCGACTTATATGTTCAAACGCGTTATTTCTTATAAGCACACAGTAATACTGACACATACACAAATCGTGGTCGAACTACTTAACATCTAAAATCGAAGAAAAAATTCAAATATATTATCAAACTATGACATCTTGATATTAACCCTCAAGCTGCTATATAGAAAACGAAAGATAGTCTAGTGAAATGAAACTGTCTGACTTGCTCTTAAATATCAATATAAATATATCCGTGTGGGCAAAGTGTATTTATATAGCAATATTTATTGAGGATTTTAATCCATGATTACGTCATAATTACGCGATCGGAGGAAGCGGTGCTTGGTATTAACAACACAGCACTAGACACTTGGGCGGAAAGCGGTGTGGGGGTATGCTGCATATTTGAGCCCTCATCAACTAAAAGCAAGATCGGACTGAAAACAATTATCAACAAATAACAATGATGGCAAATTGATTTCCCCATAATAAACAACCATATTAAATTGTTTTCTTTTCCGGAGTATTGACATAGCCCCGTGTTTTGTCCAAGATAACTGTTTAGTGTTAAGAAAAGGTAAGTCGATCACACTTATCGTATATTCACGATTAACAAATAACCCCAATAACCACATGCTTTGAATTTCACGCGCACAAGGTAAGCATCGCCACATACTTGGCTGTAATCTTCGTAGATTGTGTCAGTGAGTGTGTGCAAGTCACATAGCAACCCATTTCCATGGTTGCTATTCGAAATAAAACCTGCGGTCTCTGTCCTTTAAGGTGTTATTTCGAATGACACACATACCCCTAACCGCACATTTGTGCAATTGTCAAGTTGCATTTGGGTAGTTTCACCATCGAAATTATAAGTAAGCCATCTGACGTAAGTTGCCTGTTGTAGAGTTTGTAGAAACCGTATCGCTGATGGCTAAAATACTTTTTTTATATAAATTTTTAGTTGTGTTTCTTGTTTATCTGAGTAAGATTTGGAGTAAATCACGTTTCTAACTATGAGCATTGCTCTATTTTCTGATAATTTAAAGCCAATTTAAAGCCTATTTAACAACTGACATTCAAGCAACATTTCTTCTTTTGTTTTGTGTGAAGCAACAAGTATCGTTACACGGTATGTTTCATAATTGCCTGCTAGGTTAGGATTTATAATTTTAGTTCGAATACAGAGACAAGTTTTCTCCCCTTACTTTCTGTGTTAAACGTATTTATCACAGATAAATATTGTAAAATCACACATTTAATACATTCTGTTGTTTTGTTAAACACCAACGCGCTTATAATGCTTTAAATGAGGAATCACAGTATGAAAATTGTGAATGGCATATATTTTATCTTAAATAGACGATATGATTTAATGTTGATATACTTATATTATCTTATATTACATCGATACACCCTAGCTTTAAGATGTATTCCACTTTATCATGTAGGTGTTAATCGTTTCTATTTACGTCATTTAAAAAAAAAAGAAAAAAAGCTCAGAGGTGTCAAAAAGAACTTGCTGTTAAACTATACATACCGTTACTTAAACTGGAGCTGTGGACATTTAGTGGACAATGTGCAATAAAAGTGGACACATTGGCTAAGTGAAGAGGTTTATAGTTATTGCGCCTTATTGTGTTTTTGCACCACCTATCAGATGGAAAAAGTTGTTTCAATCAGGTTTTCAGCTCTGTAATCGTAAATATAAAGACCAACCAGTGTCTGACTTAATCTATGGCTGTGATATGCTTAAAATTGACTCTTACCGTGCATCCCCATCTGTCCCTGGACACTACGAACCATATAAGTATATTGGATTTTTACACTAGGGTTCTTAAAGTCCTAGTTGGCTTGTCCCACTTGCGTTCTACTTAATTCGAGCTTTTTTCCTGTCTGTTAGCGGTCAGTAGACTAGTTTGGCGCGACTAATTTGAAACCCAGGGCACATATCCGATTTTGCTGTGTACGTGCTGGTAGCTAGGGTGTATATTATGATAATGTATTTTAAGTCTACTTTTAGATAACTTATTAAACAAAATATGGCCGTTTATATAGTGATGATAAATGGAGAAATTAGAGTAAGGCTTATGGTCTCATAATTATCGATATATATCAATATATACTCTTAAAAAAAAGTAGGGAATATTGAAATGCAAATACCTATGCAGGTTGTGATATGATAAATAGTCATGGACCTTGACATGCTTTGAGAGTATGTTAACAGATGAAGAACTTATCGCCCAAACAGTGCCATACACGTGGGAGGGGTTCAATGTCAAATTTGACACTTCAAGGAAGGATTGATGAAAACTGCCACGTGCTGGTTTATCCTATCCAAGTTTGCTTTCCTATCGGTTCTTGCATAAGATTTACTGTTTAGCGTATCTTTGCTTTAGTGTGTTACGTTTAATTTGCAATGAGACGTTTTCAACATGATGAACTTCATATGGGTTCTACACAGCGAGCAGTAGCCAACATGCTTAATGTGTCACAGTCTGTGATCAGCTGACTGTGGAACCGGTACCAGCAAACACACAATGTTGATGATAGTCCTCGTTTAGGTCGTCCTAGAGCCACTACACAAGCCCAGGTTCGATATATTCGTACACAGGTCATGCGAAATCGAGGACAAACGGCCAATCAGCTTTCTGTAAACTTGTACCAAGTTATAGGAATTCGAGTTACACCCCAATCGGTTACATGCAGCCCATTTGCATGCGCGACGACCGCGTGGTGTGCCTCCATTAACTCGCCAACACAGGGCAAACAGGCGTCAATAGTGTAGGCAGTGTAGAAATTGGGGTAATCGTCGATGGGCGCGTGTAATGTTCTCGGATAAGTTCAGATTTACTCTGGATTTCATGCTAACGTCGCCATGACTGGCAGAACGGATTTGTATAT